AAATTTATAAAAAAGTAAAAAAATTAAAAAAAAAAAAAAAAAGACCACTAGATAATTTCCAAGCCCAGACAGCAGCAGTGGAGGCAGCTGGGCAGGTAGGTTAACCCTTCCCTGCCTGCTCCCCTGGAATAAACGCTGGAAGCAGTCACAAGTAAGTGGTGTTTGGCCAGGGGTGGAAGTGGGGGACAACAGGGGGCAGGACTCCAGGCTTCTGCTGGTCTGAAATGTACTAGCACTAACACCAGTCAACTTTTGTGTGGCTCACAGTGGAAGGTGCAACAAGGCCCCTACTTTATTAAATTGAACTTCAATGAATGAAGACATAAAAAATATTTTGACATCTACTTCAATTCCTAACTTAAGTTGCTTCAAAAAAAAGACCTCAAGGGAAGTTTCTGGCTAGGAAAAGAGCTACTGTATAGTGGAATGAATTCAAGGCTTCCCAAGCCAGCAAACTATTTAAGAAATAGTGGGAACATCTACATGAGATGCTACAAGTGCAGTAGACTAATTCTACTGTGCATTAGCACATCACAGCTAAAGCTGTACTAATGACTAGTAGAATTAGTCTACCGGACATTAGCAAAAAATGTGCACCTGTGCTAATGCGTAGTAGAGTCAATTATAGTGCATTAAGTTTAGTACCTGTTATTATAGTGGAATTATGGCACATTGATGTACGTGTAGGCATGCCCAGTGATAGTTAAATGAAAATACTTCAACATCCAAACAACTCAACAACCAGCTCAAAAAAATCCAGCAACAACAAACCAAACTAAACTTGAGGATGTCAGTGGCTACAGATTTACATGAGCTGAAGCTCTGCAGTCATTTGTGTGATTAAGGCCCCCTTCACGTGTTATAGGTATTCTGCAATTAACTAGTTAATTGTGTAAATATCTTGTGACCAGCTGCACATGCAAAGTAGTTATCACACAATAAAAAGTTCAAACAAACTGTAAAGTTAGACTTTGAAAATGTATACTACCTTTATAGCTGGTGGCTACTACACCAGATATAAAGGTAGTAATTTGCAGGAGTAACAGGGTCTCCCCTGCAGCCTGGAGCCCCATCAGCTGACAGGGCTCCCAACCACAGGGGGGCACCTTTCCCAGTTGGGGCTGGGAGTTCAATAACTGCTGGGGACTTTCTTCCACAGCAGCTGCATTTTCTGTGCCCTGGTAGCATCCTGCAGTTTCTGGAACCCAGTGTCTCACAGCTGTGGATGCTGTTCCCTGCAGCATGCGTCCTGACAAACCCCCAGGAAGGAAGGATCGCCACTGCCATTCCCTCACCTTGGGAGTGTGGGAAACTGCCAGGGGTGGAGGATCACTGCAGGGCAATCCCCCTTGCCCATGGGTGTGGGAATCCCTTGGAGCCGAAGGATCACCACTGTGACCATGAACGACCAGTGCCTCCCAAGCCTGGGGGGGAGGGGGCACCACTTGCAGGCAACAGCATTGGCAGTGAGCAGGAACCGCCTACAGACACCGGTGGTGGTGTCAGGGGGATGGTGAGCAGCGGCTGCCCGCAGAAGCCAGTGGTGGCTTTGGCAGCAGCCAATCTCAGGAGGGGTAAGTACCCCCCCCAAGTATTGCCTATGACTGTGACGATCCACGCCCCCCGGGGATTTCCTGCACTCCCAGGGCGGGGAAGATTGCCTGTGGCAATCCTCCAGCCCCAAGCAATCCTCCAGCCCACATCCCTGGGGCAGGGAGACTGTTTCAGCAGTGATCCTCCTACCCTGGGTGTGGGGTGGGGGAATTGCCATTCCCCTGCCCCGGGAGTACATGGGGCACCCCCAAAGCTGGGAGCCCCTCAACTGGGGCGCATGGGGCTCCCAGCTGCAGAAGCTTGCTTCTTGTCAGTGCAAGGGGAGCCTGAGATTAGGCTTCCCCCCACTGGCAATAAGATGCAATGGGATCTAATGCATGATCCCACAATCACACCTCTTGCCATGCACATGTGGCATGGCAGGAAGTGTGACTGTGTGAATCATACCCCATCACATCTTTTCCTGCATGTGTAGAGGGGGCCCACAAAAGGGATAAATTCCTCCATTTAAAAATCCACATTTGAACATGGCCCTAAATTTTAAACGAGGGATTTCACAATAGGCTAAATTATGCAAGGTATAACATTTAAGCAGAAGTCTAAACTTCCACAGAATATAAACTCTTTGCCTTTCTGTTGTAATTCAATGAGCTTTACATGTTAATATGAAAATGGTAGAGAAGCCCTTAAGTTTCAGAAAATATAAATTTGGTTTAAGTCAGAAGTAACAAAAAAACAATGGAGCCATTTTTATTAACATACTGACATAAAGTTGAAAGCATGGTAAAAAAAATGTGGGGGAGAGGGGAGTAATTAAAGGCAAAAGTAAGACTGTCGTGAATATCAGTGGACATTGGGTGCCAAGAACTGTTTTACATCCCCTGGCAATTTCCCCTTCCCCTGCCTACCCTGCACTAGCCAGAGGGGGAATTACCATAGAAGTGGCTACACTGGTAGTAAGCTTCATGAATAGCCTCCTCGAGTTGTGTGCCCCTGCTGGACATGACACAAACAGCTTTACAGTTCCTTCATGCAGGGAAGTCAGCACAAAGTGGCCTTATTTCTGTGGAGGTTCAGGGAATACATTCTGTATCACAAAACCCAAAATGCCATTCAGATGAACCAAAAATATTTTGATTTTCAGCAGCAACTGCTAAGGAGCATGTGTTGTCAAGAATTAACTGATGACTAAAGATATAAGTCCAGCTTGATCTTTTTATAGAGAGGAAGAGTGTTTAAATGCCAACCTACTTTAACCGACCATAAATTATCCATCATATCAACACATTACTGCATTTGATCTTTATCTTACAAACATTCTATTTGTAGTTTCTGATTTGCTACATGTCAATGAATATTAATTTTCACCATTTTTGTCTTCTACTGGCAACAAATGTACTCTTTCAGAAGCATTAGATCTTTAACTTACTACTATTTGCATTAGGTCTGTATTGCATCAGCTACACAAACAAACAAATCTTATTTTTCCTGAAAACTGACAGGCATTACTTTTCAAGATAATGGTATGAACAGATGCATACCTCTCCCCACACAGTTGCCATGCTAAAATGATCAGCAGCACTTTGCACAAGTAAATGTCAGAAATAATATTTTACAAATTGACTCACGGAGTGGATACACTGGCAGTTCAATTCTTTTCTCATTCTGGTTTTGCACTGACTTCAAAAAGTTTACTCTTTGCTTTACACCAGTATGACAGGGACGAGACTTGAGGCTACAGATTCTATGGAAGGGTCAACAAGTTTAGACAAAAGAAATACTCATGCTAGGTCTAGCCAGCATGTGTTATTAAAGAGCTATTGCATCAAAAAGGTAGCACCAATTTAGAAGTGTAAAGAGCTATACGGTAGGGGTCGGCTGCCTTCTGCCACTGTGGACTGGAGCTTAGGACCTGACTGTTGTTACAGTCCAGAAGTCTCTACCTTCTACCCCCACCCCCTTGCTACCCCTTCAACCCAGAGTAGCAGGCTTCTATATTCCCAGATTTTCTGCAGCAAGGATAAGCTCAGACACTGAGGAGCAGTGGGCTCTGCTACAGTGGGGAGTGCTGCAGAGTGCAGGGATGGAGTAGCTCAGTTCTGTGAGACTGATCCCTCCTGCCAGATCAGACCTCCATGAGCTGGATCAGTTCTGTTGACAAGCCAGATCCAGCCCATGGGCCATAGGTTACCAACCACTGCTATACAAGGAAAACAGAGAAAAGGAAAACTATTTGACTTTTGTTCAAAATATTTGCTGACTAAAGAGAAATCTGTAGCCTTGACAAATTGTAATTTTGACCAACCATCACCCCCAAATATGTTTTATCAGATGTAAAGTAATATCCAAGTGTTGCTGGGTATAATCCATTAATATCTAGAAGCACATTTCAGGTGTTTAAAACTGAAAAAACACAATGAAAGACCTGATTATACAGAATAACTTCTATAGCTGGAATGCAGGCAGGAATGTAGACAATGGGAAGTATTTAGCATACTATATATTAATAAACATCTAACATTCAGTTAAAATTTTTAAATATTACATGAAAAAAATCCTTCTTTAAAATTCTTTCAGTAAGACTTTCTAATGTCACATTTTAATCCTAAATGAATGTGCAGTTTGATAATTGCAAATCTTGGAAACAGTAGATTGAAATGCAAAAATAGACACCTATAATTAATCTCATAAATCCATAGTTAGGCACTAAGTGACCAGTCGGTTTATGAAAATATTTTTTTTTCCTTTGGAGGGGCTGGGAGGTGTGAGAAAAGGAAATGCATTTTTTCACAAAACAATTCAGAGGCAGCATTTGAACCTGGAGTTCCTCACCACCCAGCAATACCCTCCTTGCCACTGGGTATCCCATCTACCTTGCTTGAATTTGTTCCACTTTTTAGAAAAGACTAAATTTAAATATGTAAAGAGAGACTCTACATCCTCGTACTTAGAGCAACTCAGGGGATACCTGAATTCCTGCCCCTGCTTCAGTGAATGCTTAGGTGTTTATGCAAAATAGATCATCAAGAGTAATTGAAAACACCCCACCATAACATACCTCTTACAACGGTGATTTCACCTCTCAGGCACTTTCTGCCTGAGAGGATCTGAACCTTCATTTTCCACATCTCAGGAAAGAAAAACTTGGGTTTCCCACATCCTGTGTGAACCCACGAATGCCTGATCCATTCAATAAAAGGTGCATCCACTGTCCAGCCCCTTATTTACTGTAAGTAGTCATAACCTTTAAAATAACTACTGCATCAATACACATCTCATTTACATCTCAGAAATACCAACTTGTTTCAACGAAGTGACAAAGCATATTACCTCAAGGTAATAAGGGAAGTGAGAAAGTTTCTATAAATTCATTATGTGTCAGAAAATTATTTTCTTATCCACCTTCAGTAACACCTTAATCCATAAACACTGTCATTAATTTCATTGGGATTGTTTGCTGATCGAGGTACAATTCAACATTAATATTGGAATCTCCCCTATACTATTTAAATTGGGACACTAGGGACCACCACATTTCTTTTAGGGATGGATTGCTACATAGATATATACTTAACTAGCCAATTGACCATCAAGAATGATGGGAGGGGATTGGCAGGTGAGGACAGAGTGCTGCCACCCACTTCCCCATGCTGCTGTCCCAGTCCATTCCCAGCATTGCCCATCATGACTGATGGGGGTGGGGGGGGCGGACAGGCAGGGACGGAGCACCGCCACCCAGCACCTCATGGTGCTGTCGCTTCACCTCTAGCCCCATTCGCCACCCCTCACCCCCGGCGTCCGGCCTTGTGTGCCAGAGTTGCGGGGAGAGGCCAGCACCCAATGCCATCACTGCTTCCTTGGAGGTGGCAGCAGTGTGGGATGCTGTTGTATGCGGTGGCAAGGCTGGTTCCACCTCTGGGCCTGTGTCCCCTCCCCGACCCCCTGCATCCAGCCCCATGCACTAGAGCGGGGGCATGAGGCCAGCACCACTGGCCTTGCCCACCTGCTCTAGCCCCTGTGTCCCCATCATCATGGGGTTGTGGTGGGGACAGAGCACCACATCCAGCCCCATTCGCCCCCTGCTGTCCCCTCCCCACAGCCACTTTGGGGCTGGGCCTGCTTCCCTCCCCTTCAGGTCTGGCATCATTCTCCCCCCACACACTCCAGTTTCACCTGGGCTGCCTGCCTCCCCTCCCCATGAATGAAGGGTGGCAGTGGCAGGGGGATGGAGCACCGCCACTCACCAGCCTGCACCACCACCATCTCCCAGGAGCGGGGACAAGCTTGCCTTGATGTCCTCTCCGCCCCCCTTGGCCAGCACCCAGAGCTGCTGCCGCATCCCGGGAGCAAGGCTGGAGGGGGCAAGGCCATCCCCCCTGTCACCGCCACCCTACTCCAGACA